CAGGATCAAACTCTTCCCACAAAATGGACTCAAGACCTGCCACCATTGGCCCGCCTGAACTAGTCCAATCGGAGGCTAACCCGGCCCGGATCCGATCGATTTTGTCATGCAGGTAACACCCAAATTCCTCTGCCCGACCCTGCAAAGGGACATCCCGGACCCTCTGATGAAGGAGGGAGCGGGACACCCTAAACAGGGCAGCAGATCGGTTACCTGCAGACGCGATAAGAGCAGAGAAATAGTTTCGTTTCGCCGCTCTTATCGCTACTAGGTAAGTCCTTAAATGGGACTTTACCAATTTCCGATAGGATTCGGAGCGGGTGGCCCTCCAATTACTCTCTAGGCATCTCTTCCGACGCTTCATCACCCTCAGCTCCTCGGAGAACCAAGGAGCCAAGGTAGTCCACCAGTCATCAAAGGGCCACGTTTGAAGACCCCTGGCTTAGGATGATGGGAATGGACTCCAAGCCCTGGCAGCAACGGGTTCTCATCCTCGCTCTTCTCCCCACCTGCCCCACCGGATGGGCATGTTTGTCGTATGACACCAGACCAATATAACTGAATTAGGGTTGATGCATCCAATCAGGGGCGGTACAGGCATTTTTTTTATATATTGGTACAGGCATTTTTTTCCCAAATCCGTCTAATTAGAAATGATGACCAACTGGGTTTGGATGCTGTTTGATAAAGCCGAGAAAGAGGACGGAGCCAAATTACAGGAAAATGATATTTCAGATCAGTCAGCCTCCTCCGCAGAGCCCCAAAGACATCGGTGCGAATGCATTGTGACCTTTCCTTGTTTATTTATAGGCCCAACTCTAGCGGAGGCTTAGAAATGTTATAATGAAAAAGCTAATAAAAAATAAATAAATCCAGCCCTGGGAAGCCTCTTTGGAAAAAAAAAAAAGCACCAGCAAAAAAAAGCTGGACCGTCCTCATCACCTGGCGGGTTGAAGTCCCTGAGCATGCACAGAGTTCCCTGTGGACTCCTTTCCAACCCCCTTTAAGCCAAGAGGCCCCATCTTGGGGGGGGAAAAAAAGAGCCTGGGGTTTTTTCCTATGTTCCTCTCTGCCTTTTGAGTCTGATGATGCCAGGGTGCATTTTAATTGCAAATTAACGATGGAGGGGGGAAAAAAACAGGAGAATTTGGAGGAGGGGAAGGAAGCAAAATTGGCAATAAAGTGACATAAGAACAGAAAGATCCTCAATGGGAGCTAAGGAAGATTTAATTCTGTTATTTTGAGCCAGTAGGGGAAGGTGCTGGGTTAGGAATGGGGGGGGGGGTCTGGATTCAAATCCTGCCTCCACAGAGGATGTTGGGCCCGTTCATCTCTCTCTAAACCTTGGGCTACCGAATCAAAGCCAGGATCTCTAACAACAAAATATTCAGGTGGTGAACTTGGACTAACAACAAGATGAATTTGGGAATCCAGGCAGTCCTCTCTTAGTGACACAATTGGGGCCAGCAATTAGGTTGTAAAGTGAAACCGCCGCTGTGCTGCTGATCTTCCTTCCTCTTTCCTTTATTTTTGCAATCCTGCAAAGCTTATAAACGAGAGGACAGGTCATCCCGTTGCTTTTTTTTCATCACTGTCATAACTGCAAACGGTCACTAAATGAGGCAGCTGCTAAACGAGGACTACCCATTTTGCTTTTTTTAAAAAAAAAAAAATTTTGCACATTCCTTCTGCAGGATTTATTTTTGGTCTTATCCCAAGGCTGAAATAGGTCTTGGCGTATTTGGGTCTTTTCCCATGTAAGATTGAGAGTATCTTGGCGACGTTTCGACGAGGTCCCACTCGTCATCTTCAGGCTGGGGTCTTCAGCTTCGTGCTTGTGCGAGCAAAGTGTGATCGGAGCTGCCGTCTCTCTATAAATATTGGTGGGGGTGTGTGGAGTGCTGGCTTTGTTGCTGTAGGTGGGTTGGTTGGCTGTGTTGGAGTTATTGTTTGTGGATTGTTTGGCTCTTTTGTAACATCCTGAGTAGCTGAGGTGCTGGCTGTGTGCCCATTAGTCTTTTTGTGTTGTAACAACCTGGGAAATGGGCTGTGTGATGACCTCCTGAGATCTAGGGTAGTGATATCCTGAGTTCTGTGTTGCAACATCCTGGGTGGTTGGCTGTGTTGTTAACATCCTGAGCTTTATATATATTTCTGCTTTAAGCAGACAAAACGTTGCGTTGCTAAGTTAGGCTGCTCCATTGGCCTACCTCCAAGGGCTGATAAAAGGTAGGGACAGTCCATTTATCCAACGTTGAATCTTTGGGAATAAACGCCTCTGAATTCAGCAGCAGCATTTATGAGGCTCCCCCACCACCCCCTTTTTCACCCACCCAAAATCAAAGCAGAAGACAGGCGTCCTCGAGAGAAATAAATATTTTATCTGCAGACTTAAAGCTCCAATGTCAGACCAGGCACCTATCAGCCAATATACAAATTTAAAAAGGCTATTCTGTTATGCAGAAGCCTTTATTAATGGCCTGTCTGGTTAAAAAGGATGAGAGAGTTTTAGTTCAAAAATACATTAATACAAAAATACTTACACTGTGGAAGCAGAGCGGGCTGCGATAAATTTTTAAAAGACGGCTCTTCTGTGACTTTTTATTTTTTTTAAGGAGGGAAAAAAAAACCAACCCACGAAACACTTTATACAAGTAACGCATTTAGCACTAATTATACAATTACTTCTTGCTAAGGAGTGGGAAAGAGAGAAGGCTGGGAGGGAGGGAGGCGGAAAGGAAAAAGATTAATGGAGAATTTACAGTGGTTTTAATCGGCCATTTTTTTTCCCCTTCCCGAAACCGAATCGAAAAATTTGTGCCAGCCTGTGAGTGTGCCTGGCCTGGTATTTGCCACGCAGTGGGGGGGGGCACCTGATATATTTGCTGGGTGCTCATTTCAAGTTCTTATTAAAAGAGAAGGAGTTGTGTGAACCGTCACGTAAGCTCCGGAAAATAGACTTGGAAAAAATTAAAAATCAGAAAGCATGCATTAGCGGGTTTTTTTCCCAACTAATAAATTTTATGAACAGGCAGAAGCTTTGGTGAGTATCCTCGCACCCAGACAGTGGCTAGACGAATGTAGGAATGAAATTGAGGAATTTGGGGGGGGGGGGGGAAGGCATTTTGAGTGATACCTATACAGGTAAAATAGTACCTTATCATCTGTCATGGGTAAAAATACCAATTGAGAAGGCCTGGGACTTTTCCAGGTGTGTAAATTCAGCCGTCTAGAATAATTTCCACAAATGGGGGAGGTGAGAAGTCTCCCAGAGGTCATTTAGTCTGACCCTCTGCTATGTGCAGGGAAACCAATTCAAATATCCGTACGAGGCGGAGAACCCAGTTTATTTTGTAGATAAATATTCTACCTTACGGCCACAATCTTATATCTCAGCGCATTCTAAGCAGAAGGGAATTCCAGAGTCACCTAACCCCGTACAGGTAGTCCCCGACTTGTGACCAATTGTTTAGCGACCGTTTGAAGTTATTACAGACCTCCCCCCAAAAAAACCCACCTACTAATGATCTGGTTCCTAAGTCTTGAATCCAACATTTTGACTTACAAAGTTTTTGCCTAGGAACCGGCTTAATGACCAGGGTATTTGCTTCACTGCTGCAAATAGTTTATAAAATTGGATCCAGTACTGGGATGACCCGCTTTACGACCGTAATTGCAGGGCTCAATTACGGTCGTAACCCAAGGACTTACCTGAATTTGTTTTGAGATCTACAAAAGTTTTTGCCTAGGAACCGGCTTAATGACCAGGGTGTTTGCAAATAGTTCATAAAATTGGGTCCAGTCCTGGGATGACCCGCGTTACGACAGTAACTGCAGGGCTCAATTACGGTCGTAACCTAAGGACTGTCTGAAATTTGCTTTTTCCTGCCGTTAGGATGCCATGTATTTTACCCTACCTGGCAGGACCGCCGTGGTTCGGGTGGCCACGTTGATGTCCTGCAGAAGCTCCAGGGTCTCGGTGTGGAAGAGCCGTATGGAAGACCCCGAGGAGAAGGCCATCCAGACCCCACTGCCAGCCTTGATCATGTGCGTCACGCTGCTCTCCTCTCCCGGGTGGGCCTCGAATATTTGCTGTGGACGAAGAAAAGAGAGAATTGGGCGTCAGTGGGCCATGAAGTAAAATGGGTCTGTCTAGTTTAATGAAGAGAAGGACCAGGGGGGACATGATAGCAGTCTTCCAGTATCTCAGGGGCTGCCCCAAAGAAGAGGGAGTCAAGCTATTCTCCAAAGCACCCGAAGGCAGGACAAGAAGCAACGGATGGAAACTAATCAAGGAGAGAAGCAATCTGGAACTAAGGAGAAACTTCCTGACAGTGAGAATAATTAACCAGTGGAACAACCTGCCTCCAGAAGCGGTGAATGCTCCAACACTGGAAGTTTTTAAGAGACTGGACAGCCATTTGTCCAAAATGATATAGGTTTCCTGCCTGAGCAAGGGGTTGGACTAGATGACCTCCAAGGTCCCTTCCAACTTTATTATTATTATTATTATTATTATTATTATTATTATTATTATTATTATTATTATTATTATTATTATTATTATTATTATTATTATTATTATTTTCTATTATTACTATTATTACTACTACTACTATTACTATTATTATTATTATTAGTTTTTTGTGAATAACGCCAACAACTAGGAAATGTGTGCTGGGTTTTCGGCCTTGATCCTTCTGTACCCCCAAAATGGTTGGGTCGCTCTGAGTTTATTCCCCCTACTAGGCTCCAGGTAAAGCTACGGGCAATGGTGAAGGAATTCTGAGGAATTCTGGGAGTTGAAGTCCACAAGTCATAAAAGGGTCATAGTCCCCTCACGCTGGCTGAGGAATTCTGGGAGTTGAAGTCCACAAGTCCTAAAAGGGCCGAGTTTGAAGACCCCTGTTCTTCTCACTCCAATTAATCCCTTTTTCGCTTCCTGGCCCCATGGCTCTAATTTTCTGTCCTTCTCTGCCTGCAAAAGCCACTTTCTCACATCCCACGTCCTTTTTAGACAGTACCCAACTTTGCAGCAGTTCTCTTTTTAATGCCTCCGTTATAAACTCGGAATATTACCCTGAAAATGCTGACACAATCCTTCCCACCGCGGCATTTATGTACCTCAAAATGTCTCTATAAAAACAGAGCTCCTATCAATCCTGCTGGGCACCTGGGGAGACGTAAAACGTTGCATTAGTGTTGACAAGGCATTCGATGCCACCTGACAACTGAGTGCCAAGTGGAGGAAAGAGACGGCCTTATCTTGTCAGGGAAGAGAAAGAGGTGGCAGCGGAGAAAGAAAGGAAACTGAGGCAGGAAAGGCCGCTGCTTCAAATGAAAAGAAAACCAGGATATTTCTCCCTTTGCTCCGTTTACACACATGTGTGTTTACGTGTTATCCATGTGTTTACGTGTTATCCACTGCTTCTACAGAGGAACTGGGATCGCTGGTCATCCCTCTGTGAGCAGTTTTGGTTCAATCTGAAGTCTCGACTGGCACGGGGAGAACACCCCAGACCGTGCATGAGTTTGTCTCATGAAGAATAGAATAGAATAGAATAGAAAATGGAATGGAATAGAATAGAATAGAATAGAATAGAATAGAATAGAATAGAATAGAATAAAGAGAGATTGAAATAGAATAGAATAGAATATAGAATAGAGTAGAGTAGAATAGAATAGAATAGAATAGAATAGAATAGAATAGAATAGAATGGAATTGAATGTAGAATAGAATAGAATAGAATGCAGAGTATAGAATAGAATAGAATAGAATAGAATATGGAAATAATAGAATAGAACAGAACAGAACAGAATAGAATAGAATAGAATAGAGATTGGAATGGAATGGAATTGAATATAGAATAAAATAGAATGGAGTGGAGTGGAGTGGAGTGGAGTGGAGTGGAGTAGAGTAGAGTAGAGTAGAGTAGAATAGAATCGGAATGGAAACGGAATAGAATAGAATAGAATAGAATAGAATAGAATAGAAAGGGACCTTGGAGGTCTTCTAGTCCAGCCCCCTGCTCAAGCAGGAGAACCTATACCATCTCAGACAGGAGATTGTCCAGTCTCTTCTTAAAAATTTCCAGTGATGGAGCACCCACAATTTCTGGGGGTAAGCTGTTCCACTGGTTGAGAATGGAGAATGGATACTCTTGTAGGGTGGCAGATACGCCATGGGTAGGGTACAAATGAGGCTGTTAGGTCCTGGCATCCAGCACTGCCCAAATAAGTAGGGGGAAAGGAGAAGGGGAGAGAGAAAGAGAAGGGGGTATCTCTGCCATTGTGGGGGGGCGCTTGAATCCACGCAGGAACAGTGCCACACAGTGGCCGGCCCACGGGAGTTACAGCATGAGAAAGGAGAAATTTTAGAACATAGAATAACCGAGGTGGAAGGGACCTTGAAGGTCTTCTAGTCCAACCCCCTGCTCAGGCAGGGGACCCTACACAATTCCTGACAAGTGGCTCTCCAGTCTCTTCTTAAAAACCTCCAGTGATGGAGCACCCACCCCAGCCTCTGGAGGCAAGTCGTTCCACTGGCTGATTATTCTCACCATTGGGAAATTCCTCCTAATAGCGAGAACAATTAATCAGTGGAACAACGGTTCCCGAACTAAATCAAGACACACCTGGAGATACACCTACCTGAGCCTTCAGGCTGATGGCATCAAAGACGGTGACTTGATTGCCACAGCTGGCCCACACAGCGTCATCCAAGGTGAGCAGCGTCCGCACTGGGGCCAGCCCCACTGTGAGGCAGGTGGGTTCAGCTTCGGCATCCCACAGGCCTCCTGCCACAAGGAAGAGAAAAGTGGATAAGACGGAGGAGAAAAGCTTTTTGGGAAGACCAAAACAGAAGGAGGAGAATTGGAAGGACGCCCTTTCAACGCCTACAAAGCCCAATGATTTTTGTGACTTCAAATTCACTTTCAACGCAGGCTCATTTTCACGGACACCCCAAAGGTTTCTCTGAAGCCTGCCCACCTAGTTCCAGAACTCAGAAGTGGAAATCAGAAAACCATCTGTGAAGCCACAGAGTTTGGGCCACGTGAGAACTTGGAAGAGAATAAGCCTCAATCTCCATTTCGTTTTATTTTTTTGCTTCCTCCAGTCTTGAGGTTCTGTTTTCTCACTTTGGCACCAAAACATCCTCAGCACTGCAGATTTTTTTGTTTTTTTTACTTTATTGGACCGCCAGCCCACTCTATTTAAAATTCTTCCTGTCTCTTCTCTTCTCTTCTCTTCTCTATTCCATTCCATTCCATTCCATTCCAATTTCTATTCTATTCTATTCTATTCCATTCCAATCTCTATTCTATTCTATTCTATTCTATTCTATTCTATTCCAATCTCTATTCTATTCTATTCTATTCTATTCTATTCTATTCTATTCTATTCTATTCTATTCTATTCTATTCTATCCTATTCTATTCCAATCTCTATTCTATTCTATTCTATTCTATTCTATTCTATTCTATTCTATTCTATTCTATTCTATTCTATTCTATTCTATTCTATTCTATTCTATTCTATTTTTTTGTTTTTTTACTTTACTGGACCACCAGCCCACCCTGCTTAAAATTCCTCCTGTTTATTCTCTTCTCTTCTATATTCAATTCCATTCCATTCCAATCTCTCTTTATTCTATTCTATTCTATTCTATTCTATTCTATTTTTTTGTTTTTTATTTTTTTACTTTACTGGCCCGCCAGCCCACCCTGCTTAAAATTCCTCCTGTTTATTCTCTTCGAGACATTTCTTAAGAGCAGTGAATCTTTGCAACTAGCACCGTCCTTAATTGATCTGAGGAGCAAAACCCCTTGGACCACTAAATTAAATTTCTCCAATGCTTTCTACACCGCCGTTCCTAAAACCTCCTTTTCTGCAGGGCCTTTATTGATTTAACACGCGGAAGAAATGCAAGGCAAACCTTTACCAAAACACAGGCAAGGGGATGTCTCCCGATGCTGGAGTTCAAAATAAAATATTGCCATCCTTTGCCCTGTCTCTGCCAGGGCTGCAGGTTTCCATGCCACAATCGCTTCCCCAGGGGGTTTTTAATGGCATTTCGGTGGCATTTCTTGAAACACATCCGCGGCTATTGTCAAACACAGCCTTATCGCGTGTCACATCACTCCTAGACAACCGTTTTGACGTCACCCCTGGATATAATCAGCTCAGCCATTCTGCTGCCCAAACGCGCACGCACACACAACTCGGCCGCACAAAGGACACCGACGTGCGATCTTGTTGGGTAAAAGGCAGCACAAAGTAGACTTTTCCCCGAAGGGCTAAAATCACGAATGACTCTTCCGTTTTATTCAGTCCCATATTTTGCAAGATGCACACAGATAGTCCTTGACTTATCGCCATCCGTTTAACGGCCAAAGGGGCAACGGCGATGAAAAAAGTGACTTTGTACCAGTTCTCACACTTACAATCCTGGCAGTGACATGATCACAATCTGGAGAGCTAAAAACTGCTCCACGTTTACGACAGTTGCACGTCCCATCGCAGTTTGTGATCTCCAGTTTCTGAGCAGTAAAGTCAAGGTGGTAAACTTGAGGTTGCGGATGGTGACTGCGTGATGTCTCGCTTAATGACTGCACAAAAAAGGTTGTAAAATCGGGAGCCTCCCTTAATGATCACTTGGAATTTTCTGGTCCCAATGGAGGACTATCTATATTTCCCCAGATCTAATAATAATAATAATAAAGTTGGAAGGGACCTTGGAGGTCATCTAGTCCAACCCCCTGCTCAGGCAGGAAACCCTATACCATTTTGGACAAATGGCTGTCCAGTCTCTTCTTAAAAACTTCCAGTGTTGGAGCATTCACCACTTGTTCCACTGGTTAATTGTTCTAACTGTCAGGAAGTTTCTCCTTAGTTCTAGGTTGCTTCTCTCCTTGATGAGTTTCCATCTGTTGCTTCTTGTCCTGCCTTCAGGCGCCTTGGAGAATAGCTTGACTCCCTCTTCTTTGGGGCAGCCCCTGAGATACTGGAACACTGCCATCATGTCCCCCCTCGTCCTTCTCTTCCTTAAACTAGGCATACCCAACTCCAGCAACCGTTCCTTATGTTTTAGCCTCCAGTCCTCTAATCATCTTTGTTGCTCTTCTCTGCACTCTTTCTAGAGTCTCAACATCTTTTTTACATCGTGGTGACCAAAACTGGATGCAGTATTCCAAGTGTGGCCTTACCAAGGCATTGTAAAGTGGTATTAACCCTTCACGTGATCTTGATTCTATCCCTCTGTTCATGCAGCCTAGCACTGTGTTGGCCTTTTTGGCATCTCAAACAGAACAAGAGTTTATACCACTAAGAGGGTCTATTTTAGTTCCAGGACCCCCGTGTGATTCTTCAGTCAAATACAACTGCCACCCCAGGGCGCCCTGTTTGTGTTCAAGGTGTAGAGAAATGCCCCTTTTTTTCCAACTGGCAATAAATAAATAAGCTGGGGAAACAGGTTCCTCTGCATGGCGATGTTTCTGCCCGCCCCCCCGTGCCCTGGGAAGATCTGAGTGGCAGATGAAACTGCCTAAGAGATACAGCCCTCTTTCTCTTTGCCCCAGCACACGCTTTAATTAAAAAACATAAACGGCTTATCAAAAGCTAATTAATAAGAAGCAACGTCTTGGCAAATGCAGCTCGGAAGCGCAGCAGCGTAAACAGGCGTTTATAACCCCGGAACGGAGGGCAGCAGAAGCCACAGATGGTGGGAGTTTAATGGGGCGTGTAGAAGAATCGCTCTGGAAGAAACGGCGCGGAATTTGGGGAAGCAACGGAAAAGGGAGAAAGGGAGGATTAAGACACGCCCGATTAGGAGTGGAAACCGCACTCGGTCCAAAGGAAAACCACATTTTTGGGGACCAGGAGGACGGATCAAGCAAGAAATAGCAGAATAAGAGACGGGTCTTTGCAGTTTTTTCTGCTCTGCTTGCGGCCACTTCGCAGCAAGTTGGAAAAAGTAACCTTGGATGGGACGTGCAGGATTTGGGATCGGATGCTAACGGTGAATGTCTTCTCCGGGCGATATGGAGAAGTCGGATCAAGACCATCTGAGGTGGCTGATGGATGACAAGCAAGCTGAGATTTGGGGGTGGTATCAGCTCTAAGAGGAAGAGACCCCAAAGTGGGCCTTAAAAGGAAAAGTTGAGCTGATACTTGGATTCAAACAACAGCGAGGAGGAGGAGGAGGAGGAGGAGGAGGAGGAGGAGAAGAAGAAGAAGGGAGAAGGATGACTGTGGGGTCTTTGGTGTTCTCTAAACTTGGTCGTTTTCTTGCAGATGTTTCATTATGCAACTAGGTAACATCATCAGTGCTATAAAGGAGGGATTGCAGAATGGAAGAGGAGGAAGAGGAGGAAGAGAAGAGAGAAGGAGGAGGAGGACTGTGAAGTCCTTGGTGTTCTCTAAACTTGGTCGTTTTCTTGCAGACGTTTCATTACCCAACTAGGTAACATCATCAGTGCTATAAAGGAGGGGATTGCAGAATGGAGGAGGAGGAGGAGGAGGAGGAGGAGGAGGACTGTGAAGTCCTTGGTGTTCTCTGAACTTGGTCGTTTTCTTGCAGACATTTCATGACCCAACTAGATAACTTCATCAGAGTAGAAGTGAGTGGGGTTTGCAGAGAGGAGGAGGAGAATGACATGTCCTTGATGTTCTC